ACTGCGCCTCCTCTGAGTGTCCGTATGCGTTACTCTTTCCTCCTAGTTGTAGGACTTCCACTCAGCCAGCGTTCCTGTGGTTCTGGGTGATGTCCCTTCCGTCTTTTAGTTGTATTTTTGAAGTGGTTGTTCGAGGCAGCAAACTCCGGCGTTAACCTATGCCGCCATCTTGGTTCTCCCCTTATTTATCTCCTTTATGTAGCTGTGGTAGAGAAAGTAATTTCTATGGAATGTTTCTTAGTGATTCTTTCTCTTCCCGGATTAAGTGTTCCATTATTAGTTAAAAGGCTTATAAAGGGGACTCATAGGGAAAATGTCCAGAAGGTATCTAAAGGTTTATCATAGATACATAGTGATTATGAAATAAGCAACGGATGTAGGGACCAGAGGTCATTACCAAGCCAGAACTGGATACACATCACTATTAACTACTATACAAGAAGATACAAGTTTTTGCCCTGGATCACTTAGATCTACTTCCTGGTTCATTTAAACTCCCATTCTAGGATCAGGACTGTGTATCATGATTTGGTGGAGAAGAGAGAGAACAATGATAGTATAATAGGTCCCACTTTTCTGGAGCAGTGTGACATTCTAACATTAATAATTGTCCTCTATAATCCTTATTTTTACTGTTTAAATTTTTTTTGCTTTTGAATAATATATCATACAGTAAAACTGACCTTTTTGGTGCATAGTTGTACAAATTTCAACACATGTGTAAATATGTCTAACCATCACCATAATCAGGCTATTGAAAGTTTGTAATCCTATTTTAAGAGCAAGTTTTTTTTTCATTATCAATTCACAAGGCAGTAGTGACTTTCAGAATATGTATTCTCCAGCACTGGAGAAACCAACAATCAGAGGGGAAAGACGCTAAAAAAAATATGAAGAAAAGGAAAATGAGACAAACCTAGCCTCCTTACTGGTTTTGCAAAATTACATGGAAGGATTAAAGTCCACTTTAATTCTATACCTCTCTTCCAGGAACCCTAATGAAAAGCAATAAAAAGATTGTATACGTAAAACTTACAAACAGCAATAATATTTTATTTCTCAGAAAGTGGCTACCACTATAAAAATTGTTCCAAATCAGTAGTGTCTTTTCTATCTACTGTCCTTAGACACCAAACAGAAATGAACCCCTTTTTGTTCTGGGAAACAGGCAGATGAAAACTTTAGCTCAGGCTGAGGAAAAGGAACACTTTAACATAATCACCAGAAGATAAAGTCTTGAAAAACCAAGTAAAATTTTTGTCTTTGTTCTTGAAAATGAATAAGGAAAGCTGTCATTTCCAAAATGGACTTCTCCAAAGCTCTCTAATGGGTTGAGAACAACACAAACAGTGATATAGTTCAGAGAAGTTAAAAGCAGGACTGTTTTTGCAAAGATGCTGGGTATCCAAGCTTCAAGTCAGTAGACAGGGCTGTTGTAAGGCATCCCTAGGATTTCTGAATAGTCTCCCAATGCCTGCCACTCATTTTGCTTTTGTCACATTTTGACCTATAGATCTTGGATTTTTACCAGAGAGAGATGAAGCCCTGATCCTGACAATCCAGGCAAACAAACAAACAAACAAAAGAGGATCTTTGATTATTTTAACTCTTTGATGAAATTCCTACAACATAGTGCTCAAAAGAAACGAGGGCTCTTATCAAACCTCAACTGACCCTAAATATCAAATTCCTCGTTCAAGAAACACCAATGAAATGAACTAATTTTCTTGTGTCATGCTATTGATTGGCAATCGAGTCTAGACCAAAGTCCTACTACGCCTATTACTACCCTTACTATAAATGTTGAAAAATGCCTAGTTTTATGTACTGAATGAGATTTACACAGCCCTAACAGGACAAAGGATTTGTTAATATATTGATTTACAGCCTTGACACCAATTCCCAAATTTAAAGTGTGTGTTTTTTTTTTAATGGAAACAGAACTAAATACAAATCTAATCTATTGTTCTGCAAGGACAGATGGTGAGCACAAGTGTTCTTTGAGCTGTTTATTAAATTTAATGATACTGCTTTCTACTGTTGTTGGAACTTTTCGCCAGTACTAAAACTCCCTTAACTTGTTTCACTAAATGATTGATCTTGAAAATTTAGTGTTCATATAATCTCCAGTAGAACTTGTTTTAAATGCATTCCTAGGGTTTCTGATTCAGAAGATTTGAGGAAGACGATAGAAATCTTTACTTTTAACCAATCACCCAGATAATTCTGATGTCTTTGGTAGACAGCCATTCTCTGAGAAAGACTGTTTTTGACTGAAACCAAAAATTTCATGTTTAGACATAAAGTAAAACAAGAGGTTTATAAATATCTCTTACTTCATTCCAGAGGAAGAGATGTACCTAATTCCAAAAAAATTATCATTTTAAAGTTTCTAATTTGTTGCTGACCACAGGAAGGACACAAAAACAAGTCACAAAGAATTTTAGGTTCCTTTATAAATTTAAGTATAAGTATCCATGCCAGAATACATTCAAAGGTAAATGTGGAGATTCAGGAAGAGATTACAAGTGTCTTAATTGGTGTTTGGGGTTTTTTTTATATTTGGAAGAAACTTAAAAGATATTAACTAGACCAAGGATCAGCAAACTACAACTTGGGGGCCAAATCTGGCCTGCTGTCTTGTTTTGCACAACTCAGAAGCCAAGATTGTTATAAAGTATTTTTTAAAATAACAGTAATATATTGTGGTATATAGAAATTCAAGACATTAACATTTTAGTATCCATAAATAGACTTTGGTTTTTTATCTTCACCCAAGGATATTTTTTCCATTGATTTTTTGAGAGAGTCCAAGGGAGATAGAGAGAGAAAGAGAGAGAGACTGATAGAGAGGTGAGACCTGCACCTCAGGCACATGCCCTTGATCAGGAATCAAACCCATGACCTGAATTGTGCAGCTGATGCTCTACCACTGAGCAACACCAGCCTGGTCCATAAGTAAAACTTATTCATTTAAATATTGTATGGCTATTTTTGTAGAATAAAAGCAGAATTGAGTAGTCGACTCAATTATCCAGCAAAAAGCTTTTAATTTTTATGTAATCAAATTTATCAATATTTTCATGATTCACAATGCTTTTCTCTGGTTATAAAGGAATTTAACCCCTGGTTTCTTCTAGCTTTTTAATGGTTTTATTTTTTACGTACACATACTTACTAGGATATATTCTCTGGCCCACAGGGCTGAAAATAAATATAAAATCTAATTCTATTATTAGTAGGTTTGTTGGTATTATTATTTTGAAGCTATTTTATACAAATTATAAGATAAAGCAAACAAGTAGTTCTGTCAATCTTGTTAGGAACCAAGATTTTCAGTGTGAGGAAAAAAAGAGATATAAATATAAAATCAAGGAATTAGGTAAAAACCCTGAAACATACTTGACATGAAATTATTAACATTTTAAAACTATAGTCATGAAAGAGCCTAGAAACAATAACAATACAATACTTAGGAGCATTTCTAGCTCTTCAGTGAATGATCTTCACCAAAATGAACTCAGAATCCTTAAAAAATGCATGAAGGTTTCAGAGACAATGTCAGGAAAACACAGGTGCCAAAGTTGGGTCAAGTTGAGCATCAAAAAGAAAAAATGAGTATAATATATTAAAATACTTGGGCTATATATTAAAATCCATGTGTTCATAATGATACTAAAAATTAAACATTTATTCTGTCTTAACAGTAGAAAGTATGTTTCAATGTAACCAAATATATAGCAACAAAGTAGGAATTACAAGATAGTTCAAAATTAGTAACAAAATTAGTAGATCTCCTAATAAAGTTCATGATTAATGAATCCAGGCTGAAAATCAAATGATCATCTACATTAGGTGTTGAAAAGGCATTTGACAAAATCAATAATCATTCTTGATTTTTAAAAATCACTTTAGAAGATAGAAATTAGGTGAATTTTCCCTAATGTGATAAAATATACCTTTTTCAGATCAAATGGAGTCAAGTTATGATAGTTATGTATATGTTTCTGTATTTGATGAAACAGTAATTGATACAAGAGTCATTTCTACTTAAAGTCATAAGCAAAACAAGTATTCCCATATCACCACTCTCATATTGGAGGTAATAGCCAATGCAATTAGGCAAGAGAAAGATGCTAGAAATACAAAAATTGAAAAGGAAGAAGAAAACTCTTATTGCTTGTAGACAGTATGGTTGCCTCCCTAGAAAATCTAAGGAATCAATTAAAAATTAGTATAAACAATAAAAGAACTCAAAGAGGTAGTAAAGTACAAAAATATACAGAAATTAATAGTTTTTGTGTATTCAAAGTATATCTAGATAAGAAGTGTAACAGAAAAAGTCTCATAATGGCAACAAAAAATTACAAAATAACTAGTATTCAAACTAATAAAAGATGCAAACCTTTATAAAAAATTTTAAGACAACACTGATGGATACAAAATATGATGAGCAAATGGCAACATATGTTCTCAAATAGAAACACTTGTCATTATTAGAGGTGTCGATTTTTTCCGTTAATAAGTAAATTTAATCAGATTTCAATAAAAATTCCTATAAAGGTTTTTCTTTGGTGTTCTCCCTCCCCCTCTTTTAGGTAGATGAATCAATTCTAAAGCTCATATTAAAAAGTAAACACACACAAAAACAGACAGGAGTGATCAGAAAAAATAACAAATAATGGAGACCAGCAGTCAGACTCATTGAAATATACTCAAAAGTCTCAATAACTAAAGCAGAGTGCTGGTGCATAAAAAGGGAGATAAACCAATGGAATAGGACAGAAAAGTCCAAAAATACACTACAAAATATATAGAAATTTAGTAATAAAGGTTCATTATAAACAGTGGGGCAAGGATAGACTATTCAACAATTATTATTGGGATCACTACATAGCCATTTGGAAAATGATGAAGTTGGATCCATACCTTACATCTTACCTTAAGATAAGTTCCAAATGGGTCAATATTTAAAATTAAAATATAATTTCATAAGAAAAGATAGGATAATTATTTTAATATCTGAAATACAACAATGACTCAAAAATGAAAGCCATAAAATAAAAGTAAGCAAACTCAACCACGTAGAAATAAAAAAACTCATCTTCATGATGAAAGATAAATGGCAGGTGAAAAAACAGAGGAAAATGTAACTTATTCACATATTTTCATACATAAAAGAAAGAAAATCAAGTATCCACATTTGCATTTGCTTATGTTTGTATAAAGGGACTTTGGAAGGATCCATTGAAAACTAAAAAAAGAAGTTATTTAAGGCAGAGGTAGAATACTGTGTACATGGAGGATAGAATGGGAAACTTTTCATTGTATAACTATATGTTTTGGCTATTGAACCAGGTGAATATGTTGCTTATCTGAAAAGTTAAAATTTGAAAAAGTCCCTACTCTCAACTCATGTGGTTTACTTTCCACAGAAGAGAGAAGGACATTTGGGGTCCTAGTGAGATAAGTAAATCTGTGAATACAAGAAACTGATTAAATACACTTCATAAGTCTTCATTAGTGCCTCATAGTGAAGCACATAGTAGTAGCTCAGTAAATACTTTTTAAAATAGAAGTGAGCTGTAGAAGAAATGGGCTCAAGAAACAAATTACGACAAAAGAAGGGCCTTTGGGAATTAGGAGAGAGAGAGAGAGAGAGAGAGAGAGAGAGAGAGAGAGAGAGAGAGGATCAGGCATGCTCCATAGAGAGAACTGCCTTATTTGAAGTCCTTTTAAGTTTGTATATTATTGTTCTATGTACTTTTCCGTGTAAGGAGCTATATCAGTAACTGAAAAATATAACAAATTGTACCTGTTGCAGATAGTGTTGGTAATATGTATCTTCAGATTTTCTGTGACATTTTTCATCTCCCTCTGATAACCAGACATTCCTGAGTCTTTGATATAAAGAGGATTATTTCTCATTAAATATTCCCCCAAATAAATAATTGGATCAAACTTAGTTGGAATATCAGCTTCTGACAAAAGCTTCTTTTTTTCCACTTGCATTAACATATTTTCCATTCCAACCACTAAGGTGGGTAGAAGTTTGTCAAGCAAATACGCACGAGTATTCAGGGTCATATTGTCAATATTAAACCACTCTCTGGCCAAAGTTTCCTTAGGGATTTTTCTCTCAGCTTTTTTTTCTAGTTCTTTTTTCAGTTTATCCTTAGCTAATATTTTCTGCTGCATTGCTTGAGCTCTTGCCTCCACTCGTTCAAAAAGATTTTTCTTCCATGGTAGATCGAGCTTTGAATCCAGTACAGTTTGATCTACATTGAAAACCACACTTGCAGGTTCTCTAATTACAACATTCTTTGAGATTTCAATGTTAGATTCCTTTACAGTTGAGACCCCTGGCTGCTCCTCCAGTTTTGATTCTGAGGGGGAAAAAGTGAAATATAAGAAATATTAGAAGTAGATTTTAATATATGCTAGTTTAGAATATTGATAGGGGAAAATATCTCTTTAAATGGTGTATTCAAACACAGTTGAAAGTAACAGGAAGTCGGACAACAGTGACTATAACTGTAAGGACATTTATTGTTGACTTCATCAGAAATCAGCAGCTCAGTGTTTTTCATTGAGTACCGCGCCTGTTTCATTATTCTTTATTCATTTTTGTGCTTATACGTCAGGATCATAAAACAGCTATTGCAGCTCCAGGCATGTCTTCTTTACGGGAGAAAAGGGTTGAGAACAAAGAGGAGTTCTCCTCTTGAGATTCTGTTTTATTATCCTTGAAGAAAAGATCCCAGATCCTTGCTCCAACACTTTCCTTTACATTTCATTGACCCTAATCAGGTTACATGTCTGCCCCTAGACCAGTGGTTGGCAAACGGCGGCTCGCGAGCCACACGCGGCTCTTTGGCCCCTTGAGTGTGGCTCTTCCACAAAATAGCACGTGCGGGGCGCGCAGGTACAGTGCGGTTGAAACTTCGTGGCCCATGCGCAGAAGTCGGTTGCGGGCACATCCCCAGTAGGAGGTGTGCAGGAGGCAACTGATCGATGTTTCTCTCTCATCGATGTTTCTAACTTTCTATCAATCTCCCTTACTCTCTGTAAAAAATCAATAAAGTATATTTTTTTAAAATAAGAATGCTGGAAATCATGAAGGAGTCCTTCAGTAGGCAGAAATTTTGAGGGTCTCTGAAAAATGTAAGGTGGGTGGGAGCAGAATGATTGAAGAAAATAATGCGACTAAAAATATAAAGGAGAAAAACATACACTGAAATTTGAGAGCAGCTTTGAGGCATCCCAAGTTTAAAGAATGTAGATATGGATTCATCCTTGCATTAGGACATAGTGGTTTGGGATAAAGAGGCAGGATAATGCCTCCACACACAGAGAAAATAAATTGCTGACAGACTTCACTGACTGCACATCTTACCTCTTAGCCACAATCACTGGCAGTAGCTACAGAAAACTCAACCAAAGGACTTACATGCAGGCATATAGGCCTAACCAATGGACACGGACAACGGGGAGGGGGGGGTGAGGGCATGAGCAGGGGGGGGTAGAGGGTAACGTGGGGACAAGGACACATATGTAATATCTTAATCAATAAAAAATATATTAAAAATAAGAAAACAAAAACTCCGTCCACAAAGGAGCAAACAGGGATTCCCAAATGCAAATGTAACTGCACACATAAGAATCGTGACTAAAGAAAATTATCTCCATGACTAAATTCAACCAATCCAAGTAATTAATAATACCCAAGGAAAAGCATTAATAGAATAAATGTAAGGAGTCTCTAAAAGAATTATAATTAATGTCCTCACAGCAGAGAAATTAAAGAAAATAAAAAGAATGTTATAGCCCTGGTCAAGGGGCTCAGTTGGTTGGGCTGTCGTTTCATGTATCATAAAGAATGGGGGTTCAGCCCTAGCTGGTTTGGCTCAATGGATAGAGTGTCGGCCTGTGGACTGAGGGGTCTCGGGTTCAATTCCAGTTAAGGGCACATGCCTGGGTTGCAGGCTCGATCCCCAGTAGGGTCGTGCAGGAGGCAGCTAATCAATGATTCTCTCTCATCATTGATGTTCCTATCTCTCTTTTCCTCCCTTCCTCTCTCTGAAATCAATAAAAACATATATATATATATATAATGTCTAGCTCAAAGTAAGTACTCAGTAACAGTTAATACTTAAGAGCCTATGTAATAATTAACCCTACCCTCAGAGAACTAGTTGAAAGAACTGAGTGTTTGTAGCCTGGGAAGATTAAGATGATGCTAATGACTCCTTTCCTGTAAAATAGGGAGTAGACAATCAGTGTGGCTACAGGGCAAAATGAGGTCTAATCTGATGGGTAAGAAAATTTCAATAGGGTGATATT